TCCTTACCCATTCCTACGGTGAGAGTGATATTCTGCAACATATGTTGTTTGTAGGGGTTTAAGGATAAGTTCGCTTTTAATGATTACTTATATCTTGATTTAGGCATAAAATCAAGACGAATATAAGAGATACTCACAATAAGAATCACTTATATGAGTGTTGAACTAGAGCCGGTTCTATGAGAATAAAGGGGCTAAATTCTCTAGAAACACTCATGAACAACCAAGAGCGTTCAAGGCCAAAATGAACACAACTGTGAGAACCATAATGTGTCAGAATATATTTTGTGTGAAATTTATTGTCTTGGCTTACACAACGGGGTTTGCACACATCCCCAGTGATGATGCGCCAAAGTTTCTTTCCTTTGAGAAACCCAGACATAGCTTGTGCCCATAAGACATAGTTAGTCCCGTCAAGAACAACGGAAATAGGGTGGTGAGAGGAGTCAAGGCGATCCATGAGGGCAAAATCGTACTTTCGAGGTGGAATTTAAAAAATCCGAGGGTACCAGTGAATTCAGAAGGTCGAAATTAGGGGAAAAAGAGTGAACTGACCAAAAAATAGGACCAAAAAAGCACTAAATGGGCTGGTCAAAATTCGGTCAAAGGCGCGGCGCACGTTAGCAGAGAGGTGCGCGGCGCACAATAGCAGCGGACAGCAGGCGGCGCACGAAAGCAGGAGGGCTGACGTCGGCTGACGCAGAAACACGCGGCTCACGTTAGCAGAGGAGGCCGCGGCGCACAGTAGCGCGGGACAGTGCAGAGGCGCGTAGAGCGCGTCAGAGAACGAGAATGCGCGTGGCCTTAAGTTCCGGAGGCGCGTGAAGGCGCGTGGCACGTCTTTTGGTGATGAATTTGGTGGCGGTGGATTCGTCGTGAGGAGACGAAGAGACTGGTGTGGTTGAAGAGGGAAAACAGAGAAGGTCGAGAGATGCAACAATCTGTCCAAATGTGATACAGACGAGAGACACAACAGTGTGCGAAGAAGAAAAAAAAAATGTAGAGACTAGGCAAAATACCTGTGCTCTGATACCATGAAAGAGAAATAAATGAGGTATGTATATTGAATTTGTTGTACAATTACAAGGGGTGCTTAGCTCGCTTCTTATAGCCTATGCGAGGCATGCGAGACGCGAGGCACTGAGCCGAAAGCATAAAGCAAACAAACATAATAATAACAACTTAATGCTAAAGTATACAAAGTAATAACAACTAAAGAATAAACAATGCTAAAGTATAATAATAGACTAAACAATGCTAAAGTATAATAAACAATGCTAAAGTATAATAATAGACTAAACAATGCTAAAGTATAATAAACAATGCTAAAGTATAATAATAGACTAAACAATGCTAAAGTATAATAAACAATGCTAAAGTATAATAATAGACTAAACAATGCTAAAGTATAATAAACAATGCTAAAGTATAATAATAGACTAACAAATAGAATTATAGATCATAGTAGTTCCATTACATGAATAGACAAACACAAACAATGCAAAAATTATAGTTAACAATGATGGTAGTAGTCAGTGGCGGAGCCAAGAATTCAGTGAAGAGGGGCACATATTAATGATAATATTGATTTTATTTTTTCCTCATAATAAACAATAATGAGATATTATTAAATGTAACTATTAAGAGTTTATTTGGATAAATGTAAATTTTAAATTAAAGGATTTGAGATTAAATTTTATACAAATATTGTAGAGTAACTATTTTAGATGGATTGAAAAATTAAAAAAGAAAATAAAAATAAAAAAAATCAATCTATCAGATGTCGCAGTTATGATTTTTGTGGTCTTTAGTTTGACATATTATAGTATTGGATATAACTTAGTTATAATTTCTTGTGGTTGTTATTTTGGTTATGATTGAAGAGGTTTTTGATTATACATCAAGTAATTTATGATTTGTAATGACTCATTCTGATATTAGTTATGACTTATTATAATTTTTTATTTTATTTTATTTTTTATAATTGAAGATATGTTGTTTGGTTATAATTTGTATAATAGTCATTTTAGTTATGAATGAAAATAATTTGCTTATAAAAATTTATAATATCAATATCATAAAATAATAACTAGTATATGGTACACCCCTTTTAGAGGTGTATATGCGTTCATTGTAATTAGAAATAAAATTTATAATAGAGAAACTATTATAATTTGAAGAAGGGATATTATTATAATTTTATATAAGATATATATGATATAGTCTATATATATAAGGATACTAATATAATTATCAAAACTTAAGAGGGGCACGTGCCCCCCTGGGCATACACTGCCTCCGCCCTTGGTAGTGGTGTTAATTATAATTATTTCTAAATTATAGGCATTCGTCCCCTCTCAGTATATTTTTTTACAATTTTTAATGGTTATCATCTCTTGATTTTATAAAAATTTTAAGTAATTGCTCCTCTATATCTATAAAAATTGGAACAAAGTATAAAATTTAAAAAAAAAATAAAAAGACAAAATATAATAAAATTAAATATTTTTTTATAACTACCATTGATAACAAGTCTTTTTTTTTTTCCTGATAATAAAACAATGTATTAACTAATTATTAAAATTGATTCTATCACAGACATTTTTAATGACAAGATGCGTCAAACACAATTCAAAATATCTCACTTTAGTAAATAAATTATTTTTATAATTATTATCTTTTTCAATGTGGCTAAAATTAAAATGTTTATTTGTATATGTTAACATCTTATTTTTGCTTTTTATATGTCGGTAGAAAATTGTTCCATTCTTCTTATTTAAATTTTTTATTAGCATATATATTTTTGCCCGTATGTAAAAATCCTAGATCCATTCCTAATAGGAAAATGGTAATGACAGCTTCACAAAAGGTGATGTTGGATTGCCTATGTCAGCTTGATATACATTGTTAGATATAATTTTTAATAGTTTAAATTTTCAGAACATAATATCTAGATGCAAATCTTCTCGCCCTATTATCTCTGTCATTGTACACTTTATTCTGTCTATTTTCGTGCACCTTATTCTCTCAATCTATTTCCCTCACAACTTATACTGTGTTTGATTGAGTAATTTAGAGAGGGATTTGAAAAGAGAAAAGAAAACAGTGTGTCAAACTAAGTGAAATTTAGGCATATTTTATTCACATTTTATCTATCATTTCCATTTCTTTTTTCAAATCTTTCCTCAAATCCCCCAACCGAGCACAACATTAAGCTTTTCAAATTGGTGGTGATCTAACAATGTTTATGCAGAGTAAAGGAGTGCGATATGATGTACAAACAGGGCGAAGGGACGGTTTTATATCTCTTGCTCAAAATACAGTAGATATCCCAACTCCTAATATATCAGTGTCAGACTCCATCAAAGCATTTGACAAAAAAGGACTTGGTTTTGTTGACATGGTCTATCTTCTTGGTACATTGAATTTATTTTTGTTTCCAAGTCTCTAATTTAAGCATGACAAATCAATCAATTAAATGCCTGATTGAATATTTTGTGTTTTTAATCTCCAATGCATATATAGGTGCTCATACTGTTGGAGTTGCACATTGTTCAGCCTTCATAGACCGTCTCTATAATTTTAAGAACACCGGAAAGCCTGACCCATCTATGAATGATGAGCTTCTTACCAAATTGAGATCTACATGTCCTCAAAATGCTACTGTTGACAACATTGCTAATCTTGATCAGAATCCTCGAACTTCAATCATTGTCGACAATTCTTACTACTACCAAATACTAAAGCACAGAGGTGTCCTTCAAATCGACCAAGAGCTAGTATACGACCTACGAACAGTTCTTGTAGTGTTAGGTGCAACATTGGAGCTTGACTTTAATATCAGATTTCCTCATGCCATGGTTAATTTGGGTAAAGTCCAAGTTCTCACTGGCACCGAAGGGGAGATTAGAAAATCATGCCCAGCTGTCAATAATCCCACGGCAATGGCAATCTAAGTTAAAGAGAAAAATATGTATATGTTGGTTTCAATTTAGTCATTTTACTTTGTGATGGTGTGTGTCTTTTGCTTTCATTGTTTTTCTATCACTGTGTTTTCATTCATGTAATTTTTCATTATGATCACAACTGAATTGTAAGGAATGATTTCTGAATTTATATTTCTGTCCAAGTCAATTTATATTGGGTCACCCAATTGGGCTATCCAGGGCATGGAAAGGGTACATAGAAGGAAAAAGAGAACATGTTTGGGGTAGGAGGCCATTGTTAATTTTTTGGATGGTTAAGTGAGATATGGATTTATTAGTTTATTATCAGATGAGATTTTTTGGATGATTTGGTTTAGTTTGGTAAACAATTTATAGATGTGGGTTTGTTGAGTTTTACACTAAATGAGACAATTTTGAGGCCCTAATAGGCCAGCATAGCGGGGCTTGATGTTCACAAAGCTCCTCTGTTTTTGGGAGATTTATGACAGTTCAAATTAGACTAGATGTCATTGAACATGGATTTTCATAATTTTTATTTTTTTTTTATTTTTATATTTAAAGTGTTTGTTAGTTCTTATAGGCCGGGAAAAAATTTTTACTAAAAAATAATGTTAATAGTTTTTACTCTACATTTTCTCTGATGGTTTTCTATTATGAAAAACAACAAGTATATTTTTAAAATTGTTGTATGGCATCTGGAATGAAAAAAATGGAGTCATACTTTTGGCCGTGTTGAGTGTTTGTTATAGTTCTGTTTATATAGGAAAATAGTTAAATAAAATAACAAAAAAAACTGATTATTAAAAAATTGGAAGGAATTTTTAAATTTCTACATTTATACTATGAATTGGATTAAATGAGGCTGCAATCAAAATAACGACTCACAATATGCTGAGGTAGATTCACAATTTAGAAAATAAAAAATAAAAAACTCATTCTTTCAATCTTGACCTCTTCTACTAGGTGGAGAATGACTAAATCAAATTTCAACTACAACAAAAGCAAGGCATTGTAATTTTCATATATATATATATATATGTATGTATATGTATATTGGTTGTCATCCAGCAAGATGGTCTGCCTGCATAGAACATGATGAACCTCATCAAGAGCTGTTGGCCTTGGCCATGAATTCTTCTTTGTTAATGGGGTGCCATGGCCTTGTAATTTAGTGCTATGAAAGTAACCTAAAATTGTATTTAGATTATGAATTTAAGTAAGACTTTAAAAAAAGAAAGAGAAATAGTGAGACAAATGTGAATAAAATATATGAGCAAATTTTAAATTTTTTTTTTCATTTCTTTTTCTCTTTTCAAATTTCTGATCCAAATTTATTATTTAAACACAACGTTAAGTGCTTGTAAAGGAGAGGTTAGAGCTCAACTCCCGCAGGAGCAAATAAAACAATTAATATATGATTTTTGCCGATCACAATAAACAAAAAAGCAAAATTGTTAATGCAGTATCATCACGTATGGAATACTTTTCTCAAGTTGAAATAGAAGCACTCTTTTTCTATCTTTTAGATAATCAGTTATTTAATTTTTTTTTTTTTTTTTTCAACTAATGTTTGGTGTAGAAGTAGAAGTTGTAGTTAAGAAATCAGAGATAAGTGCAAATGGTCTAAATTCAGTTCTTAATGGTAAGACCTACATTTAAAATAAATCTCCCCACATATTCTCAGCAATTTTTTGGTAAAAATTTCTTCTTCTTATCTTTACCCAAACTGAAGTCTTCTTCCAATCTAGGACTCTTGTCCATAACCAAGTTGAGTTCCCTCTTCATTCTAGGACTCTTGTCCCTTATCCGCTTATCTCGGATTCCGATATCTTCGGAGGCAACCTCGGCCTAGCCGAGATCATCTCGGCGTCACGACCAGGACACGTGGCACCTCGGCTGACACATCGGCGTCACCTTGCCACGTGTTGGTACTCAGAAAATATATCCCCACAGTACCCTTGGCATAAGTGTGCATGTTCTTCCCTTGTCTCTCATCTTGTGGTCAAAGGCCTTGAGATGGGAAAGACCACAAGATGGGTCTCCACCAGATTCCGCATTCGAAAAATGTTGTTGGTTGTGTGTTCTGTTCTCGAAGGCATTCGGAATGTGGTGTGGGCGCGAAACACAGGTTTTCTTGATTGACCCATCGCTTCCTAATTTTCCTTCTCTATCTTCGTCATAAAAAATAGGTACATTATATTGACACTCCTGAGATTTGGTCTAATTACTATCTATTTCTTGATATTTTAAAAATTATATTTCTACCCCTGTGGTTAATAATTTTATTTCACAAAGTCCTCTGCTTATATAAAATGTAACAACTCGTAATAGAAAAACAGAGCAAATTAATTTTTTTTTAAAAAGTAAAGGAAATGCGAAAAAAAAGATAAAGTAAAGCAAAGTAAAAAAAGAGAGAGTGCATGAGTTCAATATTTTTATTCCGTCTAAATAATTAAAATGACAAGGGGTTAGTGTAATTTTTCAAACGTCAGGGAGTGATATGTATTAAACCCAAACCTCAGGGGGTGTAAGTGTAATTTATCCTAAAAAATAATAGAATAAATTACAAATACATTCCTTAAGGTTTATTTAAAATATGAATTGTTCATGTAGTTTGGAAAATTACAAATATTTCACTGTCAAAATTTTTTATTTAGCAGAATTAATTGAAAAAGTGAAATTTCTAACTAGTCACCTATACAATAATAAAATTATTTGAATTATTAATTAAAATAAAATTTTAACATTATTAAAAACTGTTAATTAACTAGATGATTTATTAATAAAAACACCTATTTGTTATGAAATTAGAAACCTTATGGGGCATAATGTAATTTCTAGAACCACAAGGGATAATTTATAATTTAAATAAATCTCAGAGGGTATGTTTGTAATTTACCCAAAATAATAATAATAATAAATTATAAATACACCCTCTGAAATTTGCTTAAAATACAAATTGTGATTTAAAAAATAACAACTATCTCCTTGTCGTAATTTTTTATTTAACATAATTAACTGAAGAATAAAATTAGTAACAGCTCTTCTATACAATAATAAAATTACCTGAATTATTATTTTAAATAAATTTATGATATTATTAAAAATTATTAATTGACTTTATGATTTATTAATAAAAAGAGTCGTATAATTTACCCTATTTTTTAGGGCTTGGCTTCTGTCTAGTCCTTAATCGGACTGGACCGTGCTGTTGGGCCTATGGAGGCCTACCACGGGTCCCGTTTTGATAATCTGAATCGTTCAATATGTAGAACTCGTCGAGTACTATAAGTCTGCAAAAAATCACGTTAATCGGATATCGGTAGCTATGTGATCAAATCAGTTTTGTATAAAAAAATGGACGGTGAATAAATTAACGGTTGACAAAAATCTAATTTGATCACATAGCTACCGATATCCGATTAACGTGATTTTTTGCAGACTTATAGTACTCGACGAGTTCTACATATTGAACGATTCAGATTATCAAAACGGGACCCGTGGTAGGCCTCCATAGGCCCAACAGCACGGTCCAGTCCGATTAAGGACTAGACAGAAGCCAAGCCCTAAAAAATAGGGTAAATTATATTGACACTCTTTAGATTTGGTCCAATTACTACCCATTCCTTGACATTTTAGAAATTATATTTCTACCCCTATGGTTAATAATTTCATTTCACAAAGCTCCCTGCTTATATAAAATGTAACAACTCGTAATAGAAAAACAGAGCAAATTAAATTTTTTTAAAAAAGTAAAGGAAATACGAAAAAAAAGACAAAGTAAAGCAAAGTAAAAAAAGAGAGAGTGCATGAGTTCAATATTTTTATTCCGTCTAAATAATTACAATGACAAGGGGTTAGTGTAATTTTCAAACGTCAAGGAGTGATATGCATTAAACCCAAATCTCAGGGGGTGTAAGTGTAATTTATCCTAAAAAATAATAGGATAAATTACAAATACACTCCCTAAGGTTTATTTAAAATGCGAATTGTCCCTGTAGTTTGGAAAATTACAAATATTTCACTGTCAAAATTTTTTATTTAGCAGAATTAATTGAAAAAATGAAATTTCTAACTAGTCACCTATACAATAATAAAATTATCTGAATTATTAATTAAAATAAAATTTTAACATTATTAAAAACTATTAATTAACTAGATGATTTATTAATAAAAGACCTATTTGTTATGAAATTAGAAACCTTATGGGGCATAATGTAATTTCTAGAACCACAAGGGATAATTTGTAATTTAAGTAAATCTCAGGGGGTATGTTTGTAATTATCAAAATAATAATAATAATAATAATAAATTATAAATACACCCTCTAAAATTTGCTTAAAATACAAATTATGATTTAAAAAATAAAAAATATCTCATTGTCGTAATTTTTTATTTAACATAATTAACTGAAGAATAAAATTAGTAACAGCTCTTCTATACAATAATAAAATTACCTGAATTATTATTTTAAATAAAATTTTGATATTATTAAAAATTATTAATTGACTTTATGATTTATTAATAAAAAGAGTCGTTTGCTATGAAATTGGAAAATTCAAAGAACGTGATATAATTTTCAGAAACATAGAGGATAATTTGTAATTTAAACAAATCTCAGAGAGTGTATCGGTAATTTATCCAGAAAAAATGTTGTAAGTATTTTGTTTTTTGAGAGAGCAATATGAGTATATTCTTGTCAGAATTTAACTAATAACTTTGTTGTATTCATGCTTAATCTTGATAATGATAAATAATAAAAAAAAAGAAAGTTATGTGCAAAAAAAAAAAAACTAAGCTTGTTTAGTTCTGATTTTCATAAAACAGTTTTCAGAAAATTCTACTTTTTTATTTTTCGTATTTCATTGTTTTCAATGAATTTTTTTACTATTTTAAGCACAAAAAAAAAATTTAGACACACCTAACATAAATACACTTAAAAAGTATAATATTTGTGAAAAATTCTTTAAAAAATACACTAAATACTAAAAAACAAAAAATAAAAAGAAAATTTAGTACATTTTTCATATTTTTGTGTATTTATTAATTTTTAAAAATATAGATACATCTAAGTAAGGTCTATCTAAAAAAAATAAAAATAAAAAGTGCTTAAAATTTTAAAAATATTCATTAAGAATAAAAAAAATACGAAAAACAAAAAACTCAATTTTCAAAAAACTGAAACCAAACATGCTGATATGTGTTTTTTGAAAA